TCTTGCTTGAGATGCATCAGTGGATGCATGCCACTGTCTTATTCACTTTGCTGGCTACAGCATCATATTGGTGGCTCATGTTCATCCTGTGGTCTATCATAACCCCCAGGTCTCTTTCAATTGTGGTGGTAGCAAGAGCCTGTAAGTGTGTTACAGATTATTTCTCCCCAGATGGAGTGCTTTACATTTCTTGGTGTTAAACATCATCAAGTTTTGATCTGCCCACCATGCAAGCCTGTCCAGGTCAGCCTGTATCCCAGATGAAGACATGCCTGGAGCAGTGCGAGGTGTGCATAGCACGGAGACAGGCAACAGGAGATGCCGCAGCTTCATCAGATCCCAACATGCCCTTGTGAAAAGGTCAGCACGGCCCCATTCATGTTCAATAACAGAAGCGATATGGTCACAGAAGATTGCACTCCTTCCAGAGGACCCGCGGCCCCTTCTTCATTGGATCCCGTGCCATCTCGCTCCCCCTTGCCCACAACAAGATGCCCAGCCTGTCCTGGATGCAGACATGCCGGCACGTGCTCTCTGTGGTGCTGCAAACCTCTTTGCAGTGCCACAAACTCCCGAGCTGCACAACAGTCGGTGCACGCCGCTGCTAATTTGCAGCGCCGGGCCAAAATTTGCTACCGGGATTTCCTGGTACCAAAACAAATAAACCGGTGCAAACCACACCAAAGTGGCGAGCGTCAGGACAAATGCAAAGACAGGGGATCCCGCAGCCCAAGCTGCTCCCCTGTCTCCATGTGCCACTCCCCAGCTGGCACAGGCCCAGCACACACCCCTGCTGTGCCACCCTGCCAGCCCCCCTGCAGCAAGTGGAGCAGCGGGACACGCCCAAAGCATATGGGCAGGGGTCCATGCTGTGGCACAAAGCAGCAGCACAAATCTGTGCTGCTACTATTTGTGTGCATGCCCCTGCTCATGTGGCCCCGGTGTTAGAGAGCAACTGTTTGCCTAATGCAAGCTCCTTAGACCTTAAAATGAACCAACTCAGTGGGCTATGGATCAGCCCGCTGACTTCCCTCCTTCCTTCTGCTCCTGTCCTGTTACGGCTCTCTGCAGACAAGGGAGCCCGTCCTCTCCCCTGGGTCCAGTTATGCTACATCTCAGGGGTTTAGGTCTAGAACCGTCTAGACCTAAAGAAACATCCCCTAGAAATGTCTTTGGAGAAAGGCAGGTGCTGGCTTGGCTCCAGCTACCATCTGTATCTCCGGGGGAGCACATGCAAAACGCTAGCACTCTCAAGATATGATACCTTTCATTAGATTACAAACCACAGACGAACGATCTTGCTTTGCAAGCTTTTGGGCATGCGCACCCTTCCTCCAGCTTGTGGACAAATCCAATCTAGTAAAAAAATCCTTTTAGGTAGAAAAGAAACTTCATTTTGACGAGGCTGGAAGTTTGCTTCCCTGATTTGCAAATGAAGGATTTTATTTTTATTCTTTAGTAGCAGCCGGCATGCAGTTTGCGTCTTGCTTTCAGTGGCAGGAAACGGATCCTTGGTGGTGGACTTCCTTCTTTTTGCACATGCGAATATATCCCTTTCTTGGCCCTCCCCATCAGCTCCTCCCTGCAGAGGGCTGGCATTTGCTGTCCTGTTGGGACACCAGCAACTCATCAGATCATGCTGACATGACATGCGTGTGGTACTGCCAGGGGAAGGGCCATAAGCAGGGGTGGAGGAGCTGGGGGCACATTGCAGCGGGTGGGGGAGAGGGATGCTGCTGGGCAGGGAGGAAGAGCACAAGGGGTGTTGCTAGGAAACTGGTTCATCAGCTGGCTCGTTGGTCTAGGGGTATGATTCTCGCTTAGGGTGCGAGAGGTCCCGGGTTCAAATCCCGGACGAGCCCAACTTTGCAATTTTTCTCCCACAGCATTTAGGGAGATGCGATTGCTTTTATTGCACCAGCTCCATGCTTGGAAAAAGGGTCTGTGGGCCAGAGGAAGCCGCTGCTGGTGACGGATGATGCAGAAAGGCGCCGCAGTGTCTCTGGACAAGTGCAAGCAAACCCAACCTGCACATGCAGGAATGGTGCGAACACATTAACTGTCCCACCCCGCATGGCCGTATGGGACGTGGCGCCACAAACGCGCCTGCAGCACCCCGCGCCACATGGTCCGGTCTTCTCTGTGCTGCCTTTTTTTTTTTTTCCCATGGGTTTTTTTTCTGGATCAGGGTCAAATATATCCACAGACAAACAAAAAGCGGAGCGGCGCTTGTGTGGGCAGCACACGCCGCTGAAAAGCTGGACCACCCAGAGCAAAGGTGGGCAAAATGCAGCCCATGGGTTGGATGCAGCCCACCAGCCCATGCTAGCCGGCCCGTGGGGCCCCTAAAAAAATTTAGAAAATTAATATTTATCTGCCACCGGCTGCCTGTCATGCGGCCCTCGATGGCTTGCCAAAACTCAGTAAGCGGGCCTTTGCCTGAAATAATTGCCTGCCCGTGACCCAGAGTCACGCTGCGGGTGCCAGCCAGGATTTCTCTGGCTGCAGCCCCGGAAGGACCCCAGATAAGGCTGCTGGGGCAGCCCAGGGCTGGTCCCAGTCTCCCCTGCTGCCTCCGGGGTAACCTGCCATGTGCCAAAGCACATGTGGCACAGGCGCTCCCCGGGGACAAGCAGCTGCGGCACAAGATGCACAGGGAACCAAACATCCCCACTTGTCTAGCCCCACGAGTCTACCTTAAGACTTGGGTGTTTTTTTCCAGGCCTCCCCGGGCATCCCAACTTCTCCCTTCTTGGACGTTTAACCAAACCCCTAGGAAGTTTGTTGCGTGGAACTGGAGGAGCTGGCATGAGGGATGTCCTTCTTTCTTACCTCCAGGAGTTGGAGCAGAGAGTTTCTTTCCACTTTCCCTTCGAAGCCAGTTCATCATAGAAAGACCTGAGCCGGTGCTAGGGTTGCCAACTCTCCCGGATTAGCCGGGAGTCTGCTGGAATCGGCATCGATCTCCCGGCGACTATTGAAAGCGACCCGGGAGATTTTAATGGGATGTTTTAAGAGAATGAATTAATATTATGAATGCACATCGTTCATACAAAAGTCTGTTCATTTAAGTGTCTCCTGATTGCGTTTTTCTTTCCCTGGGCTGCGGAATGACGTAATGTCATGAATTGCACTGTTCGTTACGGATTACATCCTATTGTGATGGGGGGTGGAAGAAATCTCCTGGAATAGCTTCAGTCGGAGTTGGCAACGGGAGCTGGTGCTTCCCCAGCGGAGACGGCAGATGGCAGAATGAAACCGTATGTCCCGACGTGTGGGTCTGCAATGGTAGTACGGTTGCAAAATCTGGCTCCAGCTGGCAGTCTCTGGGGTTGAGTCAGGTTCTTGCTTGGAGTATTAAGACATGCCAGGTCTATATTCTGTGTGAAGCAGCTTGCATTTTTTTTTTTTAAATAGACTTCCTCCTTTTGAAGGAGGTATGCAGGTCCCCGCTGTCTCATGCACAGTGCACCCTAGCAAACTGTAGCAGCAGGATCTTGATTAAATGCACTATATTCGGTGCTACTGCTCCCATCTTGAGCCCATAGCGTTTCCTGGGAGTGCATCAGCATCGCTATCCTTTTTGCCACTCGCACTGCAGTCTGCAGGTTGGGACACCGTCAAGCAAACTGCTGTACCCGGAGAGAGGAAGGGGCAGCTTTGGCAGGGCTGGAATTGGCCGGGGCGGGGTAGGGGAATGTAGACTGGGGCGTCAGCCATGAGAAATTCCCACGCGCAGCACTGCTCACGTGTGAGCACCCCTTGCTCTGTGGCTAGAGCCAAATGCTGTGTCCCGGTACAGCTGACTTGCTGCCCTGTGCCTCCATGGTCACATACAAATTAAGTGCTGTTCTCCGGCACCCTCGACAGCAGCATTTTCTCCTCCACTAAGTCCTCCTTTTTGGCACTCTTTGGGGCATCAGAGTCATGGTTCTCAACTGCATGACAGTGCCATGCGTGGGCCTCAAGGCTGGACATAGGGGTGGGAGCCAACCTTTGTGAAGTGTCCTGAGATGTCGTGCTCCAGCCCCTCCCAGGCAAAAGCGCAGCCTTGTTGGGCAGGCTCCTCAGCCCTCAAAAGAATAAGACTTCCCATGAGCCTTGTGAACACAGCTGTGCTGCTTCTGCCAGCAGAGCCAGCTCTAGGTCTCTAGAGAGACACCCCTAAATATGACCTTTTCTCCCAAGCAGGCGCACCTCCCTCAGCCTTCAGCAAGGCTGTCTGGCTGGCCTCTGCTGCTACTGACGCTGGCCAGCCATGGGCCCAGCTTTCCTGTCCCGGCAGTGGTTTGCTGCACATGTAAGTAGGCTATCGTATCCCCTGGAGGTCTGAAGTCCAGCCCAAGCCCTGGACCACCACCACCTCCCATGAAACCTGAACCTCACAAAGCAATTCATAGTTTCATAGTTTCTAGGGTTGGAAGGGACCTGAGCAGATCATCTAGTCCGACCCCCTGCCATGGCAGGAAGAGCACTGGGGTCAAATGACAATTCACATGAAACTTTGCACTTATTGCTTTATTTTAACTGGTGTTATAATTAGCCAGGGCTACAGCTTCTTAAATAAAATGAAAGTGCCATATGCTGAAACAGTCCTTCAATACAACGGGTTTGGACTGGGGTGCGGATTCAGCTCTCCAGCAGTGCTGGGGCACCCCACCAACAAACTTAAGAACAATTTAAAATGTAACTGTTGTACGGACACAGTGGTAATGGTAAAGAAGGAGGAATGTGAAAAGCATGCTAAAACCAGCTGCACAGGTAAGGCCTAACCCCAGAGAGGCTGTCTGGTTGGCTATAGGAGATGAGTGTCCTAAGTGGAACAAAGGGGCTTTGGTCCCTTTGCCAGTGAGCACCAGCTACAAACAGAAGTGGATGTAACACACACGTATGTCACCCCATCTCCTCCAAGGGGACCCAGGTACCCCTGAAAGTAAGAGACCCCCAACTCTTCATGAAACCAAGGCACAAAAGCCACCCGTTACTGCTCTCAGGACCTCAGGCAGAGTTGTCTCTGAGAGAGAGCGCTGCATGACCCCAAAAGAGCCTGCCCACATCACGCACTCTGCACACAATAGGCAACAGCTTCTGAAAGACCGGAGTCCAGATCCTCCTAATGCCTGCAACTCAGATGACGCTAGCAGGGCAGCACCAGATGCCCATGGAGACTGCCGCCCTCCCATACACGCAAACTGGCACTGAGCTCACGTGAGAGCAGCCAGTGCTTCTTAGTGCCGCAGCACCCGGGTTGTGTTCCCGCTGGTGAGCCCCGAGGAGGAGGCTTGCTGCAAAGGCAGGGAGGGGTTTGGGCTAAGACTCCTGGTTGGACAGGAGAGATACAGGTGCCCAGCAAGGCACTGCATGACTCCAAGACTGAGAGAAGCAGAGGGGGACGTGAGTGAGTAGGCACATGAGAGAGACACCGAGATGAAAACGGGGGGCTTTTTCCCTCTGCGCTGGAAGAAGCAGCTAGAGTGACTGAGGTGTTTAAGGCCAATCGCCCCCTGCCTGGGCTGGATGCATCCATCAGTGCAATTAGTGACGAGGATGCCTCAGGAGAAGGAAATCCTGGGGGGGAGATCAACCTGCTCAGCAGAGCAGAGACCAGATTCTCCAAGGACAGACAGACAACAGCACTCTGGGAGGCTTCCAGATCGAAACAAGTCTCCAAGTGGCAGAACGAACTGGGAAGCTCATCTACTAACAATGACTAAGGACAGAGAAAGAGACAGGCAGACTATGAGACCAGAATGCAGTCCCCCAAAGTGAATGAACATCCTCAACCACGGCTGGTTCTGGTGCTCAGAGGCAGCCTAGCAGTTCACTGGAGGGGGAGGCTTAGACAAGATTTGGAGAATTCCAGTGCCTGGACAGGAGAGGGAGGGGGGCACCGGCATCCCCTGCCTACACCAAGTTGTTGTTGCTCTCAATGCGCTGCACCAGCTCGGAGACAATGTTCTCCAGCATCTTGGCACTACCAGAGCTGGCCTCCAGCACCTCTGTGTGGTTGGCTGTCTCCTGGCTGGTGTAGTCGAGCACCGCCTTGTTGGTGATGAGCGAGAAGCCAAAGACGCGCAGGCCACAGTGCCGTGCCACAATCACCTCGGGGACAGTACTCATGCCTAGGGAGAGAGCACAAAGGAGGTTAGCCTGGTGAAGGCGGAGATGGCCGTGTCCCTCCCCTTAAGCCCTGCTCCCTCTTCTCCCCCTACTATGCATCCTCCAATGCTCCCCTCCACCTCTCTTCCTCTGTTGCCTGTCATTCATTCTTTCCCTGTCCTTCCATCCACCTCCCCCTATTCCTCTACCTTCCCCACTCCCTCCACTTACCCACAGCATCGGCCCCCACACGCTGCAAGAAGCGACACTCTGCGATGGTCTCATAGCTGGGTCCTCCAACTGAGCAGTAGACCCCTTCATGCACAGCCTTGGCATGGCCCAGGTCCCTGGCCACAGCTAATGCCAGGCGCCGCAGGTCCTTGTCATAGGCATCTGACATGGGGGGGAAACGTACCCCAAACCTGCAGAGGGAAGAAGGAAGAGAAGTCAGGAGGAAGAAGGACAGAGAAATAGGGCTCCCTCTAGGACACACATATGGGATGGCAAGTGTACCTAAAGCCCAGCATATCTATCTCTATATATCTCTATTTCTGTGTCTCTCTAAGTATGTCTGTCTCTGTATATTGCTCAAAGAGTCTGGGGCTTTCGCAGCAAACACAGTGAGAGGCGGTAGTTCTCTCTCCAGCTCATTTTGTAGCAGTCCTGGCTCTGCACAGCTGGGGCAGATGAGCCCAAGTCAGAGCCCCTGGCAGTGCCCCCGCAGCAGGGCTGGCTGGAAGGGGAGGCAGAGGCCTGAGCCCTTGCAGGGGAGTCCTTGCCCAAGCTGAGACAGGGAACCGGGGCTGGCTTGGGCTTACCTCCCAGCTCTGTGAAACGTGGCTCTGAGTCCCTGCTGGGCCCCAAGCGTGAGTGGCTGGCCCAGCAGACCACACCCCGCCTGCCCTGCCCAGGGGCTGCTTGGAGCCACACGTGGCTTGTCCTGGGAAGGAGCCTCGCGAGTGCCCATTAGGCCTGACTGCCCACGATCAGCACCTGTCCCACCGCTGGCCCAGGGACCCGCAGCTCCCAGCAGCTTTGGTGCAAGTCCCCGGCCACTGCCCCCGCCGCCCCACGCAGCATCTAACACAGGCAGAAGGTCACCGAGCGGAGCATAACTCACCACTCGCACGCACCATCTGTCGTGAGCGTGGCGAGCACTCCTGGCCGCGCGGCGCAGCTGGCCCTGGCCCCCAAGTGCCGCAGCCTCCTCGCACTGTACCTCCAGCCGCAGCCCCCGCAGATGGAGGTGCCCGTGCGCAGCCACAGGCCCTGCCGTGCTCCAGGTCAGTCGGGCACGGAGAGACTGGGCGCAGCCGGGGGGAGGCAGCGCAGGGGGTAAATAAGGCCTGATGGCTGGGGCTTGCAGGAGCTGCCTGAGGCCGGCTCATGCAAGAGGCAGAGGGCAGGCAGTACCTGTGCCCACCCCGGAGCCTGACTCACCTCCCAGGCTGCCTGACCTGGGCGTAGCACTTCACCATGTTGCCCCCGAAGTCAGGGTAGATGTATGCCTGATAGACTGACCTGACCTGGAGCACAGCCATGACCCCAGGTCTCCGGTCTAAGTTTCAGCAGCTGAGCTGTCTGCCATGCTGCTGGGTCTCCTGGGTGAGGTACTCCTGCTCTCATCTAGCTGGACCCATTCCCCTGACGGGAAGTTAAAAATGAAGGTTTGGCCCCGGGACTAAAACCAACAGCACCTCAGGCTGGGGCTGTAACCACTGCGCGTTTTGAGGCTCTCACCCGGGGGCCCTTAGTGCCTCCGAGGAGGAACCTGCTCAACAGAAGACATCTATTACTTCCGAAAACCCCCAGCCTGTGTTTCCAGTAGCCTGGTGGGCCAAGTCCCATGCTGGTGTACAAGAAAAACTAGAGTTCAATCCCTGATAAAGGAAGAGTGTGTCTTTTGGTGTGAACGGTGGGAAGAGAGAGTGTAAGACTAGTGTCTTTCTTTATCTTGACTGTCACAAGACCTCATCCAGAGGCACCGAGTCAAGAGGCGCAGCCGACAGCTTCTCATTCAGGTGAGTTTGTCAGCCTGGTGGGGCGAGGGCTGGTCCAGAGACTTGGTGTCATGAGCCCAAATCCTGGGCAAGTTCTTTACTCCTGGGACCCCCTGACTCTTTCCTTGCTGTGGCCAGAGGTGCCGAGTCAAGAGGCACAGCCGACAAGCCCCTGTCAGGAGAGCTTGCTGGCCTAGTGGGTATGGCCCTGGCTGGAGACACTGGTGGCATGGGTTCTCCTCCCATGTGTGTCTGGTCCTCAGTGAGCAATTGACCTGTGGGCCTGGTGCCCCCCTCACAGTGCTGTTTGGGTGCACAGCAGGAGGGGTTGGCTATACACTTCTCAGCAAGGCTTAGGCTGCTGTGCAGGTGCCCACTGGCATGTGGGTACTGGTTGCCTGGGTCTGTGGGGTGTCTGGTTTTGGCACTCCTAAAGTACAGTCACTGAGTACAGAATGCCTTTTAGTCACCTGGAGTCTCAAAACCAGACTAGTAGTCTAAGGTGAACAAAGACTACAAAATAAGGATGACTGTACACTGCATGTGTACACTAGGAGTGTCAAAACCAGACACCCCCAGATGCAGGCGACCTCCAAAACCTCCCCAAGCAAACAGTACCCACATGCCAGTGGGCACCTGCACAGCAGCCTAAGGCTTGCTGAGAAGAAGTGCAGAGCCAACCCCTCCTGCTGTGCACCTAAACAGCACTGCAAGGGGGGCACCAGGCCCACAGGTCAATTGCTCACTCAGGATCGCTCAGCCAGGACCAGACACACGCAGGAGGAGAACCCATGCCATCAGTATCTCCAGCCAGGGCCTTACCCACTAAGCCAG